TGCTTTCCTGACCCTTGATCATGCGTGTGGCTCTCCTCTGCACTTTGTCAAGCTTCTCCACATCCTTTTTGAATTGTGGAGCCCAAAACTGGACGCAGTACTCCAGCTGTGGCCTCACCAAGGTCGAGTACAATGGGAGAATGACGTCCTGGGATTTGCTTGAGAAACGTCTGTGGATGCAAGCCAGCGTTTTGCTCGCTTTACTAGCTGCAACATCGCACTGAAGGCTCATGTTCATGTTGTGGTCAATCACGACCCCCAATTTCCTTTTGCTCATAGTGCTAGCCAGCGTAGCACTGCCGAGCCTATAAGGATGCCGCAGGTTTTTTTTTTCCCCAGGGTGGAGCACCTTGCATTTTTTGGTGTTAAACACCATCAGGTTCTCGTCCGCCCATTTGCTGAGCCTGTCAGTGTCAGTCTGGATCGCCTTCTTGTCCTCAGGTGTGGATGCTTGTAATGCATGGGGAGACTAAAGCACTTCAAAATGGTATTTTCAAAGCACAGTGAGTAGTTGCCTAAAGTAGGTAATAGGAAATGTGGAAGAGAGGTGTGTCTGTCTTCAAGTCTTGTGGGCTGGATGGAGGAGCCATAATCTACTTGAAATTCAAAGCCGTGAATTTTGTTTGAGTTGGGCATTTTAACTATTTTTATCAAAATCCAAGGGGCGGTTGTCGTTTATTTGTTTATTTTAAAAGCTGCCTTAGGTGATAGTGGTTTCCCTTTCTGCAAAGTAGTTTAGTTGTTTAAGCCTGAGGTTCAGTCCCCCACTCCGTGCCTAAGGGGATTCCAGCCCATTTACCAATTTTGTAGGAGAGTGCCCTAATTACTTATCAGTGGGTTGTCCTGGAAGAGGGGTACTCTCAACTGAGCCAGCTGAAATTGTTCCACATGGTGTGACATAGTCATTGAGCCAGAGGCAAGGAAAGCATGAGCAAGTGTGACTCGGGTCTAGTTGTGGAGATGCTGACCTGGAAGCAGGGGAGACCTGGGTTACAGTCTGTGTTTCAGAAGCCATGCAGATATTTTATCCAATGACAGTATATTTTATGGGGTCAATGACTGACTGTTCTCTCAATACTGAAGCACTTTTGAATGTAACAGAAACAGAAATCTAGGCAAATCGAGAAGTTGCCAAAATGTGAGCCTCTGGACTTCATATGCTGATGGGATTAGGAGGCAGATGGGTGTGATGGGGTGGGGCGGAGCTCCTGGAATCTGCCTCTGTGTGTGAACAAATGATCAAATTATATGAAGTTGATGGGG